ACAAAGTTGTGACAAGCACAAACCACAAAGAGGAATTAGCATCATTTTCTTCATACTGTACTCATTCCAGCCTCTCTTCCTCTCTCAATTCATGAAGCCAAACATGCCAAGAATAAAAACCACACAAAATCAACTATCCCAAAATTCCTCGGAGTAGACAAGAGCAAAGCAGACAGCAATCTCCAAAAGCGGACAAGACCAAGAGGCACAGAGGCACAAAGCACTGAGGCTGCTCCCTTGAAGCCCTAAAGCCCTGTACTCTAGTGCTAGCGCTCCCTTGGGAGCTAGCTCTTATCTCAAAATGCTGCTCTTAGATCAAAGCAAAACATGGGCTGAATGGTGGCTTTTAACTCAAAACACTCTTAAGTTGGGATGCACTGTGTGTGCTTTTGTGTGTATATCCTGTTACCTCTATGTTAAGATGCTGGGAAATATGATGCTCCCTGATACTTGTGGTCATTATAATACAACTATGACTTCATCTACTAGGAGATATTCCCATCATGTGGGGCTCCCTGCAATTCAAAGTGGGATAGCCACGAGATAAATTTATCTCCACATTGAAAACTACTGTTATATCACAGAAGTCAAAAGATAAAAAGACTGGGGCCAATTCAAAATAACCTGTATTTATCCATAGGTTTTCCCTCTAAGAGAAAATGAACTCTGACATTTTATTGAGCTGGGCCTGACTATGAAAGGGAAACTAAACATATCTTCAGCTTTTATGTAAGAAGTGAAACACACACAGTCCACTTTAAAACTTCACAAATCATTATTTCTGCTTGAGCTCTATAACAGTCTCTATGGATGTGAGAATGATGTGAACAAACTTGGCTCTAGCTCAGCCACCATATGTATGTGAACAAAGAGTACAGCAGGTGGTTTGTGCAACTTCACACATAGTAATGCCAAGGAAGAAAAGATGGGTCATCATTCAACTCCCTTTCTAAAAGCCTCCTTCTATATAAGCTGGAGGAAAATCAGTGGAATAGCTCTGAGGCAACTGAACCTCCAGAGGATCTTCTGGAACTCTTTGACATGTTTGCTAGGAAATCACTCGTATGTTGTCTCATTTTGGATACTTTCATTAATGCACTTCCAGCGATTGTGTGCAGAGTACCATCTGGTCTAGTTTTGTGAGATACATTTTAGTTCTTCAGTTTAAGGATTTGCAGAAAGTATCTGGAGGGGTTTCCCCATCTACCTGTATTCTTTCACTTGCCAAGGAAATTAATAAGAAATTTATTGTCATGTGAGGGGAGGAAGGGTTTTTTTCTGTACCAAGAGTGAGAGAAATTGCATGTCGCTTCTGGTGTGAGAGAATTGGCCGTCTGCAAGGACATTGCCCAGATGTGTTACCATCCTGTAGCAGGCTACTCTCATGTCCCCGCATGAGAAGCTGGAGATGACAGATGGGAGCTCGCCCCGCTCCCCTTTCGGTCAGCAGTCCTGCACCACTGGGGGCTTCAGGAGGAATAATGGAATCCTGCTGACTCGAAGCAGGTCATTATGAGTCATTCTAAAGAAAGTTTCACTCAACCCAGAGGACTGCCACAGCTCTTGCCTGATTTTAAGTATTTCCTTTCTTGTACTTTAAAAGATAGTAGTAATCTAGTTCCATTACTTTTGGATGAAATGGACAGGCCTCTTTAAACTCAGAAAATCGAAGAGAAAGCGGGATATAAAGAATGGGACAAAACTGTAAAGTATATGATAGCAGTAATCCAAGTGACAATAGCCTTAGGACAGAAAGAGCAAAGGAAATGGGAGCTTAAAAATGGTACAAATATCAGATAATATTCTTCAAGATTATATCATTGAAAGGAGAATTAAATATACGAATGGACATCCTAAGAAGAACTGGGATTCGAAATGGGAAAAGCTGAAAGCCAGAGAAAAAAGGAAATGAAAATCTAAGGAATTGAATCAGACAATCTTCTTGATCGAACAAATAATTTAATACAAAGAACAGAGGCACAACTGTTTCCGGAGAGAGGGGGAGAGAGGAAGAGGGAAGGGGAAAATTGGATATGTATAAGTAGTAGATAAGTATAGAAATGTAAAGGATAGGAAAACAGGAATCAGAATGTTAAGAGAATACACAAAAAAGATGATGGCAATGTTATAATTTACTTATATAATTCAAAAGAAAAAGAATATTCTATTGATGGATGACATCTATTGTAAAGAGAGTGAAGGAATGCAATCTTGTAAATGCTCCCCACTTTTTAGCAATGCCAAATGCTATAAGCCATATTATTTCATTAGTCTAAAACAATGGTTCCCAACCTTTTCTTGAGACCAAGGACCACTTTCTCCAACATTAGTACCAAAAGGGCTATGAATCAACTTTAGTCTATGGCCAACTTTAGATTCAGTTTGGTTATTTGGGGTGCCGATTCAAAAAATTGCATTAGATAGGCCACATCAGCTCTAGTTTCTGATACAGAACATATGCCATCCAGTAGTCACCATCTGCTTGCCCATATTTAATAATCTAGAGCTAATGTGGTAGAAATAATCTTCCATAGGTAGTCAATCTCTCCCCCCGTCATCCCCGTTGCCTTGGCACCATAAGAGGGTTTCGCGAGACCAGGCACTCTCGTTGCCACATGGTTTCGAGGCAACTGTGTAGTAATGGTGAGGACACGGACCATATTTTTGTTTTTGCGGACCACTGGTGGTCCATGGACTACAGGTTGGGAACCACTGGTCTAAAAGCTATGTTGAAGAGGTGGTTCTGTTCATATGTGAAAGGACATTCAGAAGATAGCACTGGGAGGACTTCATGTTCTTTAATATTTATATTAAGCTGCTGAGTGAGATTATCTGAGAAACGGAATGAGGCTTAATCAATATGTTGATAACAACCAACAATATTTATCTGCCTCATCTACTCAATAATGGTATGGATAAAGTCCAATACATGGACAGAGTATCTTGACAAGGAGTTATCATGATATGAAGATGGTTACTGGGTTTGGGAAGTTGACATTCAACCTGCTCTGGATGGAAGTGCACTCTCCTGAAGGAACATTGTACATTTTTAAGTGTGATCCTTGATCCAGCATTCTACTAGAGGTCAATGTGATGAATGCAGCTTGGTGCATCTTTATCAGATGCTGCCATTCTTACATAAGGACAGCCCTAGCATGCTGCTTCATGTTGTAACAAAATCCACACTGACTTAATGTAATATATTATGTGTGGGTCTACCATTGAAAACAGTGACAAATATATTATGAACATGAAAATACAGTACAATATTGCCCTCCACTGGCAAGAATCTATCCATATATTTGTCTACTGATACAGATGTCTTATTTAATGTTCCATAAATCTAACTTATGTTTGTTATAAGTTATTTATTCTCACAAATGTTATATTTGTGAGATATAACATATAACATTCATACACAATCCAGAGATATCACGTTAATAATAATAATAATAATAATAATAATAATAATAATAATACTTTATTTACAGACTGCCTTATCTCCCTGAATGGATTCAGGGAGGTTTCCAACAAATATGGCAAACATTCAATGCCAAAAGAAAACCATATGAACAGTTACCGCAGGACAAGGCACATTAGACAATACAGAACAACCTACCTGTAACATAATAAGCAAAATAGCAAAAATGTAAAACATCATAAAATACAAAAACTATGATAAAACACACTAAATATGAAAATATAAAACCAATTACACGTTAAGGAGATTTAGAAAGCAAACTATGAGTTGTTGTCAGGGTAATAATCTTCTCTAGATTAATTCCATAATTTAATATCTGGAATATGATGTTATGCAATTATTTTAAAAAGGAAGTATTCCTGAAGATCAAATGATTGCAGAGTTTCCTCATCCAACTGTTGACCTTTCTTTATTACTGGGCATTTGTACTCAAGGATATTAATTAAAATGGGAATAATGTAAGCAAACTGCATGCAAATGACCAAAATGCAATACTGAACTAGCTAGCTGAGCATCAGAGGAGTGTAGGTGCATTAGCTACTGATATCAGCTATCCCCAAACAGATTTATGACATAGCAACTGACAGTTTGTCAGAAGCTGGAAGAGAGTGGTAGTGCAATGGGTTAAACCCTTGTGCTGGCAGGACTGATGACGGAAAGGTTGGCAGTTTGAATCCAGGGAGCGGGGGTGAACTTCTCTCTGTCAGCTCCAGCTTCCCATGCGGGGACATGAGAGAAGCCTCCCATAGAATAGCAAAACATCTGGGCGTTCCCTGGGCAATGTGCTTACAGATGGCCAATTCTCTAAAAGCAGAAATGACTTGCAGTTTCTCAAGTCACTCCTAACATGAAAAAATGCTGACAGTGCTTTCCTTTAGAAGTTTAAAACCAGCTCTGTGCAGGTACCAAATGGCTTGTATGAGAGAGTTTAGAAGCTACAAAGAAGAAGAAACAAAGCTCCTTTTATTTGTAAGCTGTGGTTTATGAAACCGGAAATTGTGGTTGGACCATGTTTCTTATCCCCATCTGCATGTATCAGCTGTAGTGCTATAGTTCTTGTTACAGTCACGGCCATATCATCCTCACATCCTTTGTGAACTTAGGGCTCATAAACTGCCATAAAAATCCAGATGATCTGCTTTGAACTGGATTATATGGCAGTGTAGAAGGGGCTTTAATATCATGCCACTAATGAAGATCTGGGGAAGAGAGGGAACAAGGAACAGCCCAGAATGTGTTCCTGACTTCATAAACCACTAATTAACTAAGAATTACTGCAGCTGAAATAGTGCAATGACATCCTTGAAGCAAGTTTAGCCTGAAGATGAGTGTAAGTCAGGAAATGATGTAGAATTTGTTCATAATTAGGAGCAGCACTATGCATTCATGAAAGCAAGTTTCTCAACATGATACGCTACTATTATGATTCCTATATCATTTGCACAATTCTTTGTCACATCTGCTTCCTTTCCAAACATAAAGTTATACTAAAAAATTAAGTTTAAGTGAGATATCTTACCTTGTGTGGTTCCATCTAGACCCATCAGGCTTTTCATTACTCTTATTATTTGTTCTGCTACAGGTGGACTCATAGATGCACCATACACAGCACTGTGCGAGTGAACCCGTAAGTAGTCTACAAGTTCCTTCAACCAAAGAAAAGAAGATTTCAATGTGGACATCAAATCACTCTTTCTTCTACTGGAAAGGAAATTTGCATTTGACAGGAACGGCCTCATCAGAAATTCATTGCAAACATAGCGTAGATAGAACTGAAAAACCGACAAGGTGTTTCACTATCAGTTTTTCCAGGTAATGTATCAGAAGCTGGCACATTACCTGGAAGGGCAGCTATGCTGTATTCTGAGTTGCATTACATTTTTCAGACTTAATGCAAATCAATATCCCTGTGTAGCAATCCTACAAACCAGGTTAGAAGAGACCTGACTTCCTCGGAAACCCAGGGCTCTTTTTGATTTTTTAAAATGCCAGTGATGGCTAAGCAACTGAATTATTTCACACATACAAGGAGTATTAAACATTGCTGTTACCTTTTTGCCAGCTATGTATCCTCCAACGGCTCCAAAGCTTTTTGTGAACGTTCCCATCAATACATCAACATCATTGGGGTCCATTCCAAAGTACTCAACAACTCCCTTGCCAGTTGGGCCAATAGCACCTATACTGTGGGCTTCATCTAAGTAGAGGTAGGCTTTGTATTTTCTCTTCAAGGCAACAATTTCTGGCAAGCGTACAATGGATCCTTCCATGCTAAAAACAAACAAACAAAAGAAGTTAGCAGCTCAGGACAAACATCAAAACTCTAGGTTTATCAGTATTCACAAAAAAAGTAAAGTATAAGCTGATTTCTGTTCCATTTTTTACAAGAGAGTGTCAAAAACAGTTTGGTTTGTGCAGCTAAATCAGTGCTAAACTGGAGGCTGAGGAAACTTATAAGGAAAGTTTCCATAAAATTAGCATTATGTTAATCAGTCAATATTTTGCAGAATTCTGCCTCTAATCTGTTGAAATAATTCCGGAAATGGAAAGAAGGAAACATGCCATGGTAGAATAAGAAACAGACAGAATACAATGCAATAGTTCACCAAAACGCAGCCAGCTTCCTACTGATGTTACCACAGTGAGCGACAGAAAGAAACAAAGGATAGTCACTTGTATTGAGGAGTGGCAGGAAACACAACTCTAGAGGTTTCCAAGGAGTTCTGCACAAATACAGTGTGACCATTATATCTTAATCAAAGATACTTCCCAAATAATAAAAAGAAAACTTTTGTATAATGATGCTCTTAAATGTTCTGCTGGGACATTTTCATTTTCAACATTAACTTTTAATCATGGGTGAAACTTGCAAACTTGATTTCAAGTTTGCAATAAAGCAGAGGGTGGGACCTTGCACTTCAAAAACAAAAGGTCTACTGGACATGTTCAATGACTTACATGCAACTAAAAGAGGGAGTATGCTTATTTAATTTCACCAAATTATGCACATTTTAGGTGAGATTAATGTATTTAACAAGTCCTTGGAATATGCCTATGGATAGCTTCCATATTTGTTTTTAGCCATACCTGTAAATGCCTTCTACCAAAATGAGAATTTTTTTCCATGCTCTCCGGCTTCGAGGCTGTCCATGTATTACCGCATCCTTCAATAGCTTTTCTAAGCTTTGTATATCTAGTTATAAAAATACAAGAAAAACTGTACATGAAATATTTGATTAAAACCTGTCAATAGTAGCTTTTATTTCAAAACCTATCATTTTCTAAAACAGCCAAGGCAGCCTGTCACTTGGCATTTTCCTGCTGGTTTTTAAACTCATACATTTTAATTAATTTTTATACCGTTCATCTTGATATGTTTTGTTCTTTGTTTGTTTTTTAAAGTTAGGTGTGAAATTGTAATTTTGTTTTCATTGTCCAATTTTGTGATGTCTTTATTATTCTTGATGAAGATGTCGATTTGCTTTGTGGGATTAGGGTGGTTTTGGTTATTTTGTTTTTATCTAGTATCTTATGGCATTAAATGTTTGCTGATATTTGTTGTAAACTGCTCTGAGTCCTGGGGAGATAGGGCAGGATATAAATAAAGTTGTTGTTGTTATTATTATTATTATTTGTTGTATTTAAAAGTATGTCATGAGCAACCACATCTAAATTCGACACCAAAGGTTGGCTACTACTTGGTCGTTTCATATATTATTAATCTAGTAACAATATAATCTAGAACAGTGGTTCCCGACCAGTGGGTCCCCAGGTGTTTTAGCCTACAACTCTCAGAAATCCCAGCCAGTTTACCAGCTTGTTTGGATTTCTGGGAGTTGAAGACCAAAACATCTGGGGACCCACAGGGTTGAGAACCACTAATCTCGAACAATACTACTCACAGTGGTGGCCAGTGGACCATTGCCAGTCCCTGAGCTATCTGTTACCTGTTCCTGGATTATTTCCATGAAAGAAAGAAACCATTATAATCAACTGGCACAAATATGATACTGTTCTCTAGCAGAAACAGTCAACAACTGCCATATTATAGTATAAAATGATGTTTATTTATATCCCACTTTCTCTACAAAAGAGACTCAAAGTGGCTTACACTAAAACCAAATGAAATACAATTTGAAACCTAAAATCTACAAACATTAAAAAAAGGTTTAAAAAGTAAACAGTTAAAATCCTTACAGATTAAAACATATTCAGAGGTAAAAAGACAGCATCCTCTGACCTGATCTTTAAAAATACTTCATTAAAAACCTGTTGCTGGAAGGATAAGAAGACCATTCTGGCTTCCTATCTCTCACATCAAGAGAGTTTAAGAAGTACTGTTCTAGAGGTCTCTCTTACCACCTAAGGGAAAATCTATCCATTAAATATTAATTCAGTAGTATTAACAAGATTATTTATTTATTTATTTGGTTTACTTTTACCCCGCCCTTCTCACCCCGAGGGGGACTCAGGGCGGCTTACATATCCAAGGCACAATTCGATGCCCGTAACATACAACAGTAATAAAACAAAATAGCATAAATTAGCAATCAACAATGATACAGTACATCTACAACCGATAAAACCAATAAAACCAATAAACATTTGGACTGGAGAAATCTGGGTTCATATTCTTGTTTAGCCAATAATTCATGGGCAGCCTTGCCCTTGCCTTCCTCTGAGGTTCAGAGAATGTGACTTGCCCAAGATCATCTGGTGGGTTTCCATATTGGAGAAGGGAATTGACCCCTTTCCCTCAATGTCCTAGTTCAATACTCAAACTACTTCACCATCTTGGGTCCTGTGACTGTTTATGCTATGCTAAAAATGTATGTGATCTTGGGCCAAGGCCACCATGGTAATTCTGTTGTGGGTCTGAACTATTCAACATCTTGCACATACTGTTTCTTGGTTTGGAGATTTGATTGTTTTCCAACAGGGAACAAGTTCTATCCCAATGAAGCCAAAAACTAGGCTCCATGTTGTTCCTTTACTGAGGAAAGAACTTAGTTCATGAGAGCATGTGCATTACAGGTGAGGAAGATCTGGAACTGTCATACTTTGGACTTACTAGGAGCAAAGTTGCACCCTAGGTATCAATAATATTATAATAATGAATGTCATTACATGTGAATGATTTGTTGGCCAAATCAGATCATCGAGATAATTGCAATAATGACTTCTTACAACATAGTTTTCCTAATAGTTTCCAATGCCAACATTACTAAGAGACTAACCCAATGGAATGAGAAACAACTGCAAGTTTATGAAGAAAAAACAGCTCAATTTCTCTCATTTGGAGTTATGGGAAAGTCTTTATGCTTTTACTATGACTATGACTATTCTGCCCCCTCAAGCACATAACCTGAAACACACTGCTTCAAGCAAAGGAACAAGCACATTAGAAAACACAACAACCACATGGCCTTAAAAATAAACACACCACCTTACAAACAAACACCCAGTCTTACAGACAAACAAGAAACAAACATACATTTAGCCCTCCAACATACTCTAACAGTCAAGGCTCTCCTCAAGCAGAGCTCACCTGCTTCCACTGTGCCTATGAACAGGTTACTTATCTGTAACCGTTTCTGAGTGGTCCTGTGTGAAATCATACAAATGAGTTGTTTTGTGCCTGCAGAGCACATTCAAAACCCTTCGGGGGTTGAGAAGGACGGGATAGAAATGCGAGAAATAAATAAATAAATAAATAAAACCTTCTGGAGCAGTGGTTCTCAACCTTCCTAATGCCGAGACCCCTTAACACAGTTCCTCATGTTGTGGTGACCCCAACCATAAAATTATTTTTGTTGCTACTTCACAACTGTAATTTTGCTACTGGTATGAATTGTAATGTAAGGATCTGATATGCAGGATGGTATTTTCATTGTTACAAATTGAACATAATTAAAATATAGTGATTAATCACAAAAACAGTATGTAATTATGTATTATGAAATATTTATTTCTAATTACAAATAAATGTAACTAGGCATTAGGAAAGTTGAAAAACATTGCTGAAGACGCCCATGAATTGCAGTTGCTGGAAGCATGTATGACAAAGTCTTTGGGATGTTACACGTAAGGCCAAGGCATTGGACGAGTGTTTCAGGAACAATGTGGGGGATTTCCTGTGAGGAACAGTCCTGTGGATAGAAAAGGCCAGGGGTTCTTTTAATACCCAGGCGGTGTAGCCTCTTTCAAGATTTGATGTAGGGGTCCTGTAAGCAGGCAAGTAAAACAAAGCCCTAAGATAGAATGTGGAAACAACATTTGGAAAGAATGTAATGTCAGGAAGAAGAACCACCTTGTCCTTATGGAAGCAAAGATAAGGATCCGAGGACTCTGATGGACCTTGAGGGAATCGGATCACTGATGCAGCAATTGCAACTTGCCTTTTGTAGTCTGGAACAGTGTCACAATCTAGAACCAGGGTTGCTATGGCCACCTCAGAGTGATGAGAATATAGTTGTATCTGTCAGCTAGAACTCTGGAAATGAGGGGAACAGGTGGGAATGTGGAAAGGAGATGTCTTGTCCAGTTGAAAAGAAACCTGTTGCCTACACAGCTTGGGATGTCAAGGACATTGAGTCCTTGAGCAAAAGTGTTAGCACGAAAAGTTCAGTCTAATTCAGGCTGACTCCAGACAGCAAATAAAGGGACCAATTTGTTGGGGTGGAGGTGCCACTTGTGGCATGATCTTGAGGGTCTGCTGACAGTGTCAGCAATGACATTCTCCTCCTCTGGTAGGTGAAGGTAATTCAAGGGCTTAAACGAGTCTCAGCATAAGGCCAGCAAACAACCTAAAGTCATCTGTTGGAGATTGGTTCATGGCAAGAAGTTTTAGATATATATAAGGGTGAGAAACTGACAAAGATGAATCAGAATTCTCAGAAAGGTCATGCAGAGGGTTCATAGAGCCTTTTGTATGAGAGGATGAAGCTCTCATGGAGGAGGCCATGAGTAACTTCTCTGTGGCACTAACATAAGGCTGGGGTTGCCAAATAGAGAGTGATTTATGATGCTGACTGCCTGGAATTGAAGTGGGAAACTGGTGGGTTGATATGCTCAAGCCTGCCAGTGTTGAAGATAAATTTCATAGTCGTAGGTCTTGTAATGGGGATGAAGACAATGATCATCTCAGTGATGCTGTTGAGACAGGTGGATCCTACTATGACCATCATGATCCAGTGATTCCGTGTCTGAGGCACTACTGGGGTGGGTGATCATTCCAATTCCAAGCTTACGTTACAGTGTGCTTGGAAGAACATTTCATGGGAGGGTGAAAAGAATAGGAGGAGGAAGGCAGAGCCGACCACATTGATGGTGGCACCAGCATTAAGGGTCTGGGTACCTCACTTGACATATCTTTAGAGATCTATGGGGAACCCCTTGAGATTGATGATTGTACTAAATGAGCGGCAGTGGAGATGTCAACATCTGAAGAACCAGTCTTCAGGTTTAAAACAGAATGAGGCACCTTCTTGGCTGTCTTAGGTACAGTAGAGTTGGTAGCCATTGGTGCATGCTGTGCACTAGAGCCTTAAGGCGAGACTCATGGTTTTTCCTGGCTTGGGACGCAAAGACTTGGCAGTGCAAGCAGGATGAACAACATGCCCTTCCCCAAGACATTTCAAGTGTCAATCTGTATGCAGTCATCAAAGAGAGAAAGAGCCTGTAATTTGAGGCAGATAGAGCAGAGCAGCTAGAAGATGCCTAAACTATATAGAGGTCAGGAGCCAGAGGAGTGGGCATCGAGAAAAGGCTGAGATCAAATATCATGACAGTAGACGACAGTGAAGAAAAGAGACAGGAAAGTGGTTGAAAACAAACTGAGTCAGAACTGAAAACTTCGAAGAGAATACTGAAGCAATGCCAAGGTTCCTATTAGAAAAGGCACTGGGGTTTTGGCATCTTCTGCCTATTTTTACCATTTGGGAGAGTGTTACTGTCAAAAAATATCTCTAGAGCTCTAGAAGATTCTGAATGTGCTCTATGCAGGTACAGAACAACCCATTTGTGTGACCACTTAAAGAAACACAGTTACAGGTAAACTACTTGTATCAATGTTTCTTTCAATGTTTGATTTCACAGAAACAATGAAGAAAAATATATAAAATGCAAACAAAATGGAGTAACATCCTCATATAGTACAATCTTGGGGTTCAAATATATAAACAGTGCATGTTTGGAAGTGAAATGTTGGTAGTGAGATCAAAGGAAAAAGGTATGAAAAAAGTACTAGCAGTAATAATTACCTTATTAACATGAATAATTAACAAAACCACTGATGGTAACATAAACATCCCAGTAATAGGTAGAACTCATTAACACATGCAGTGTGATAAGCATCTTTTATGAGATATTAATGACTGCTCGGAAGTTTCGTCCTCTGCTCTACCTTTGATATTTTTTCATGTTATAAAGCAACAGACAGCATTGTTTGCAGTGAGAGGCCAATGTTAATTGTTATTGCTACTATTTTCTGCATTTGAATTAGCTATGATCTCACTGTCAGCATCCCATGCTCAGCCATGTGACATACACACTTGGATACTCCTCCCATTATTCTCATATTATTAACAAAGTGAATGGAAGTCTCCAAACCTCAGGCTACAATACACCTGGGTAGCCTTAAAAATGCCACAGAATTCTTTGTTGTGAGCTAGAGCACAACGGTCTTACTTGCTGTCAGCATGTATCCTTTGAGAATACAATCCACATACCAGATGCTCCTTTCGTGTGCACTATATAAAGAGACTACTTGTATCTCTGTGCGTAGGAGGTAGATGCAAAGCTGCTTTCATTTCCCCCCTCTGTGAACTATTCACCTTTCTTGCAACCTTTCTTAACTGCCACCTCTTACCTAAATCCTGCTTCTAAATCCCAGTGTCTGATTCCTAACATGGGTTCTTTCCTTTAGGTATGGGGATTCTCACTGAAAAACCTGAAAAGACTTTCCTATTCGGACCAGGTTTGAGAAGTGCCTCCAAAGGCTGGCTTTTAAATTTAAATCTAGGCTACATAATCACATTCCATCTTGCCGACTAAACAACCATATATATATGTATACATTTCAATCCAGGGCTGGCTTCTGTGTGAGAGAACTGGCTGTTTGCAGGGACGTTGCCCAGGGGATGCCTGGATGTGTTAACATCCTATGGGAGGCTTCTCTCATGTCCCAGCATGGGAAGCTGGAGCTGACAAACAAGTGCTCACCCCATCTTACAGATTCGAAGCACTGACCTTCAAGTCAGCAGTTCGGCCGACACAAGGGTTTAACTCATTGCACCATTACAGCACCAGAAGTGACTTGCAGCTTCTCAAGTCGCTTCTGACACCAAAACAAAACGAAACAGAAGAAAAACCAGTGGTCAGAAGATAAGCTTGTAAATAACTGCACTTGTTGAGTCATATGAAATCCAGGTAACAAAAAAAGAACAATATATTATTTTTCTATAAACCATTCAATGACATTTCCGTACAAGTATATGGAGCAATATGAACTCAATAACATGATTACGAACTATGTTGAATATTCTCAACAAGCTGTAGTTAATCATCTTTGGATCAATAGCAGGTCAATTTTGGATCAGTTGCAAAGCTAGAGTTAGCTAACATATCCTCCAACTATCTGATTTGGCAGGGACAGTCCCTATTCATCTTTTGGCATCCCGTGTTTTCAGTTGTGTTGAAAATGCTCCAAGATTAGGACATGGGAAACCACAGTTTGAATTCCCCCTCTACCATGAAAACTCTGTGGGCAAATTCAGGGAAATCATAACCTCTCAAGCTCAGAGGAAGGCAATGGTAAACTCTCTCTAAACAAATTATGCTGAGAAATGGCTGTGATATGGCAACCTTAAGGTGGACCTAAGTCAAAAATGACTTGAAGATACACAGTAACAGCAACAGCAATAAGAACAACAGTTTTGTTACATTACAAAGAAAAGTGCTGCATAGTAAGATTTAAAATAAAGCTGACCATGTGTTTTCATCTAAATTATGTGACAGAAATTAACACACCGCCTTACAAACAACACCCTTGAATGGGTATAAGTTACTTTAATTTGACCAAAATACTTGTTACTCAAATACTCTGCATTAATACTTACTGTTGTGTTTAAAAACTCTGATTGTAGCACCTGAGAGCCTTGCCCCAAGAATAAGTGAAGAATGGTTAAGTTCGTCACTTAAAATAAGACATCCCTGTAGAAATATATGATGAATAACAAGGATTAGAATAAACACATGAATCCACAGTCTAGTAGTAAAATATTATTTGTAACCTCCCTCCCCGAGCAAACTACCTTTTACATTATTCACCTAACCCATACGAGTATTTTACGAGTATTTTAACCCATCCTTCAACCTAAGATGCCAACGTTTAAAACAAAACAAAAACAAAAAGTATACCAATAGTAAAACATAAACATAAAATTATAATCAAACTAGGTTAGAGTCTAAAATGGAAGTAGTCTTTGTTTGCAATTCTGCAGCGAGTTTACTTGTGTGTTAAAAAGACACACAAGCCACGAATCAAGCAAATAGGAATATACTGAGCTCAACGCTCATATCAAGAACCGTCCAATGTAACCAGCTGCCTAAAATGGGCTGCTTTCTAGAACTGAGAGCTTGTACCAGATAGAGCACTGGTTCCCAACCTTCTTTTGACCAGGGACCAGTTGACCAGGGATCACTCTCCAACATTATTACCAAAAGTGTTACAAATCAGTTTTGGTCAACTTTAGATTTGGTTTGGTTATTTAGGGTGCCGATTTAGAAAATGGCATTGTACAGACCACATCAGCTCTAGTTTCTCATACAGAACATGTGCCATCCAGCAGTCGCCATCTGCTCGCCCACAGAAAACCATATTTAATAAGCCTTGGCACTATAAGAGGGCTTTGCAAGAACAGTCACTCTTATTGCAATGGCGTAGTAATAGTGAGGCCGCGGACCATATTTTAGTTCTTGGGGTCCACTGGTGGTCCATGGACCACAGGTTGGGAACTACTGAGATAGTGGAAGGATTGAATTTTCAAGGTTGGAGGGAGAGTATTTTTAAAATAGAGAATAAAGGATTACTGTTTTTGTTTCCCTTTCTATACCCAGCTGCTTTAGGGACTATTAGAGTGTACTGGATAAACTTAGGTGATCTGTCTGCTGAACCTTTCTCCACAGCATTCTTCAATATAATGTACAGACTAAATGACTCTTAAGATTTTTTTCCTCATCCCACCATTTCAGCTTTTTAAACCATCTTTACTTGACAAAGAGAAAACAGTCTTGTAGGTTATGCAGCCCGTTTTGTTGGCCCAATGTATGTCTAATGTCTATCACAATATGAAAGCTAGCTACCCTTGCATTTTGTATGATTTAAAGAATAAACTGAACAGCACTGGGACTCAATACTGGAAAAGTTGAATGTACAACATCTTGAACTGGGTCATATTTTCTGAGGAATTATTCCATCAACCCAAAGGTATAAACAGTAACAGCAAAATGGTTCTAAAGCTTCCTGGGAGACAATAAAGACAGTATTATTCTTAACGATGCCACTCACCTTTCCAACTAATGCAGGAATATTCATAGCATTTGTAGCAAATCCCATGCCAAATGTTAGTGATGCTTCAACACCAAGAAACTGTGCCACCATTTTTTCCAACTCCACATGTTTATCAAGGTTACCTGTTTAAAACAATTACAATGCTTTTAAATGTCTTATTAGTAAATCCCATAATGTGTAAATAAAAACATATTCAAAGTATTGCTTCAGAAGGAGAGGTTGCACACCTGTAACAGTAGTTCCTCGAGAGGTCATCTGTAAACTCACAAAACTCACTTGCACAGTGCATCATTCCGAACCATCTAGAGCAGTGGTTCTCAACCTGTGGGTCCCTAGATGTTTTGGCCTTCAATGCCCAGAAATCCTAACTGCTGGTAAACTGGCTAAGATTTCTGGAAGTTGTAGGCCAAAACACCTGGGGACCCACAGGTTGAAAACCACTGCTCCAGAGCTCTTAAATAAGCACTTTGGTAGTAACCCTGGCTACTTTACACAGAATATTACCACGGTTCCCAACAAAATACATGGTTCTCTTGTCACTGAAGCAGCAGTCAAGGGCTTAAGGAGATGTGGAAAACGATGAAAGGATAATGGGTGAGGTTGTGTGACTTTCCAGATGACCAGTCGAAGAACCACTGTTACAGGTATGCAAACTGTCCTTCTTCTTGGTTGCTGTGACTCACACAAATGGGAGACTATCAAGCTACTAACCACACGAAGAAGGAGTGTTGACAAGTGTCATTCCACACAGGAAAAAAGCACTGCTTTTCCAAAAGCAGTTTTTTAAAGACTTAAGTGTCTGATCTGTAATGAGAGATTAACGTTGAAGGCTGAGACCAGAAATCTCTTGGGAACGCCTGTGAAACTGCCAGTGCCATGCTTAAGAGTTCAAAAAGACAGAAAACTCCACCAATTTGTAGGTGTAAGATGGATGTATATATGGTTTGTGGGACGCCTCAATAATGTGCCTGTCTGAAACAGATTATTATGATATGAATAAAAATACCAGGTCATCAGTAGTGTTTGTAAACCTGGAAGTCTCACTTGCTCTTCATGAAAGGTAGGAAGATCTGGGCTGAGTGAAACTTCTGTTGCCTCTGTTTGGAAAGATGAAGGAGACATGCAGACCATGGTTTTCTGGGCCTTTGTGGTGTGATAAGAATGCCCCAGACTCCGTCCTGGCATATCTTGGCAATCACCCTCATGATAAGAAGAAAGGGAGGGAAGGCATATACTACAGGGCCTTTCCAATTGAACAGGAATGCATCTTCCAGGGAGTCTGTTCTTCATAAATCCTGGGACATAATATTTTGTATTGCTTCTTCGGCTCAGAAGCGAACAGGTCTATTGTGGGTAGGCCCCATTGCTTGAAGATCTGTAAGAGAGTGGTCTGATACATCTTTCATTTATGCAGGATACAGAGGTTTGACTGACAGAATCTGCTCAATTTTCAACGTTCTGCTCTCTGGAAAGATGAAGTACTAAGGGACAAATATTTTGTGGGATAAACCGATTCCACAGCAGAACTTTTGTGGACTAAACCAATTACACAGCAAAACGTGAATAGAACAGGGTGTCTACCTTCGTGTCTCCTTGCTTGTTCTGGTAGTAGGCCCCAGTGTGATACTACCACAGTCTTGTTTGACAGCATTCTCTCCAAAAACCTATTTGATGATAGCCATCACCTCAAGTGTGTTCCATCTCTCTCTCTCTCTCTCTCTCTCTCTCTCTATATATATATATATATGTGTGTGTGTGTGTGTGTTTATGTATGCACAGTAAAGAAAGAGAGTTGGAGTGAAACAGATTGATACAAAAGATGGCCAGATGGGCTATTGGGAAGAAAACCTTGAGAAAGTGTGAAAGATTTGGCCTTCAGGAGCTACCAGGGAAAGTTCTTAAATGGACTTTAAGAACATTATCATACCGAGAGATTATGGTTAAGCTTGAAGACCTTTTGACCCCAAGAGTTACAGATGGAAAATATATCATATGTAAATACAGAAAGCGAGACAGCATGATGATCAAAAGGATAAAAATACTAACCTGCTAACAATCTAAATGAAAAGTGCAGAACTTTCTTTGTAGATGTTAATAATAAATAATGTAAGAAAACTTTAATTTGAAATAATCCGCTATGAAAAATTCAGTTTAATTGCCACTGAAGAAACTGGAAAGTATTTATGAAGACCAAGAGACAATGTGAGGAGATAAAAGATACAATCAATTGACTTAAAATTAAAATTGTTAGAATCCTCAATATAGCATGTAATATGTGTTAAAGAAATAGTGATGAAGACTTGTTGTAACCATAATAGAGATGAAGACTTCTTGTAACCATGATAATATTGTAAAAGAACTCCTCATTCCTCAACAACCTGCACCCTCTTTGTTTTCTCCTCGCGACATACTAGACATTTATAAAGATGCAACTAATTAATCTATCACCCCCGAATTTCTCCTTTACTAGTAAATGTTTAATAAAATTATTTGGGGGAAAGTGTGTTCATGCTTAAGAGTTGCTTCCCCTGCATCAAGCTCTCTGAATGTACTTCCAAAACCCTCCAGAGACACATCAGCAGTGATCACTATTAAAGGTTGATGTGGAAGGAGCAGCATTCCTGCATGTCAATTCTGCAGGTCCAGCCACCATTTTATGAGCACTGCACAACTTGAAGAATTGTTAATATTTTTCTTGAGGACCTGATGAGAAGATCGATGCTTGTGCTGAGCCATGGTAGCCAGGGCCTCATTTGGAAACTAACATTAGAGGGCACTGTAGAAATGGTGATAAAATTGGTTTTTAGTAACAGAAGTCTTACTGAAGGAAGTCAAACCAACCTGAATCTTGAAGATGTCAATAACATTGGGTCTAAGTATCATGCCTATCACAGTAAATTTGTCTGTGGAAATAACAGCCGTATTCCATAAAGCGAGACTAAGGGCTATAAGACTGATGGTACAGAGGAGTATGAGATTAAGTAGCTGAGGACGTGGTGGAGGATGAAGAAGATGATGAAAAGGACCAAACTCTGTGTTGATGATAAGACACAGGCTTGTTTACCAGAATTGTTTTCTTGATGACTGGTGGTTCAGATGAAGAAGGAACTTGAGGAAGAGTAATCTCTATGGTACCATGTGGATGACTATTCGGATGGAAAAACAATGGGAGTTGACACTTCAGCAACATTCTCAGGAAGGAAACATTGTTCAGTTGGAAGTGAAGGGATATCTAAAGAAAGACCTTCGGTTATTGCCCTATTATTCTTATGGTGCTTTAGGGCTCATGTTGATGATCTGAAGCAACTTACAAAGCAGTTTCAAAAAAACTTCCCTGAGGTGAAAAAGACTATTGATTATGGTGGCTTGTGACAGAAACTGTAGGTGACACATGGGACCAAGCTGCAGGCTCATAGTAGATCTTTCAGCACATTTTGCTTACTGGGATTCAAGAAAGTCTCCATGAGGGAGCATTTCCAAGATACCCAAAGCTGCTTGCTCTGAGTAAGATCAATGAGAGCTGATTTTGAGTAACTATAGCAATGTTGGAAGATTTAAGGGCCTCCTCTCACAGGAGGATTTTATGATTTGAAGCTTGATTGTGACATGCACAAGGAGTGTAAGTCTGGCATTATGGCCCTCTCTTTTAGACAAAAGAGACATTTTAACTAGTCATTTTTCTCAGAAATCTTTTCCCAATGGGAGACACAGAATTTGAAGAATGCTGAAAAAGCCATAAAATGACAAGGCTCTAGCACAGGATTGCAGCAGGTTATCAGGCTTAACTCTGTTCAGAACTAGTGCATATCATCTAATTGTTCTGGTTTGACAGGGACAATCCTAATCTTCTACCATATCACCTTTCCAAGTGTTCAAGTTTCTTTCTTCTGTACCCAATTCTTCCCTTCATTCTTGGTTTACCCCAGTCGCTGCAAACTCAGTTCAAAATGCAATTGTTTTGTTCTCAATTTACTCAGTGGGTGGAGAGGATGGGGGGGGGGTGTCCTCTGTGATCTCAGGCAAAGACGAAATTCTTCAGCCTCTCCTATCTTCTGTGTTCCTCCTCATCAATAGCTTCTGCCATCTTGACCATCCTTAGATATTACTCGGCCGCAAGAGTCTTCATCTGAGTAATGTTGGAGGGTAGCTACAAGAGATGTTCAGCTCTTCTTGCATGCCCACAGGGTGAGAAAAATCATCCATCACTCTATGAGAAGGGCAGAAATGTTTGTTTTTTTGTTCCTAAATGTATATGGACAGTTGGGTAGCTCCTAAGTCCACTTCTATAACTATGATCCACAATGAGCTGGAAGGAAGAGCTACTACCTGAGAGATTACAAATATAACTCACCAGTGCACAAAAAAGCATTGAACAAGGAAGTATAGGATACCTCCTTTGACCATGGCTTCCAATATGCTGCCAGCCACATTATTCTGGTTTATGGATTCAGTACTCTAAGGGACAATTACAAAATGAACATTATTTGGCCCACTTCAATGTATGATTACATGTGAAAATGCAACTGTCAAAAGACAGTTGTCATATTAAAACTTTACTTACACAGCCTGTTCTTATATTAAAATTGTAGTGCAGAAAATAATGTCACCTGGGTGGTGGGGGAGAAGGTATCCTATGGTCAAATCTTCCCTACAAGATTCTCTAGTAAGTTTAGAGTAAGTCCTTGTGCAGCCCTTTCATAGTTGGCCACTGATATTTTGAACCCATCTGATGGAGTAAAATTGAAACTGGATTTTAAATTTTGGTTGATTGTTTAGTAGGATTTTATGTTTATGCTTTATAATGTTTAATTTTATTGTATGATTTTCTTTTATGACAATTATGTTGGAAACCGCCCTGAGTCCATTTGGGGAGAAAGGGTAGTATATAAATAAAGTTATTACTATTATTGTTATTATTATTATTTTAGTTTTGAGAGGGCTCATTAAACTGTAAATTATGACAAGCCCTACTGCATTGTTGTGAGACAAGTTATCTAGTTAACACTTAAAGATGTTCAAGGAAAATGGCATCATGAAGGTGATATTGCTAACTATATCCTGAAGTTAGCAATATTACCTTCATGATGTTATGAAAACATATGGTTGTGAAAGCACAAACAAACTGAGCATTCCCCAACAAATATGCAGCAATAACTGTCTCTTAAACAACAATGGGAACCAATTCTTGAATCAGTTTTGCAAAAGTCAAACCTGATTGACAAGAACAGCCCTTTTGCTCTGCACACAATTAGAATGGAACCTCTGTAGGTGGTAGGTGAGGTGTTAAGTAAACCTGTGAGGTACCAACCAGATCTTATCACTGGGAGGGTTGGGACAAGGCACACTGGGTGGGGACAAAACACTCAGTTTAGTTTCAACAAATATCTGTGTCCATTTTCAGTGCAACACAATTAGGAGTAAAATGCACCTATGGTTTACAACTATGCATGATTTTCCCACAGTCACGAAGCAGGAACCTACATGTTCAAAAGTGATAAGTACAAAAGATATTACATTAGGACAAACAATATGAGTAGGTCCTTGGCACTCTTCGAGGGCATCACAGACTGCCCAAAATGGCAAAAGTCAAGAGAGGAAAAGTGGCTAAAAATCTTTTTTTTAAAAATGGGTATATTTTGACATTAAATGATGAAGGAGGGGCTAGAATGGACTTAAAAGGAACGTTTTGAATGTTTCCGGAAAAGATCTCTTGCCAGAAAAAGGGCAGGGGGTGGTGGAGGTGAGCTCTAAAATGATGCATTGTTGACCTCACGTTACTTCCCCTAATCTTGTTCTTAATAGGAGAGCTGAACCTTAATTACTAGTTAACAACAAAAGATCCATGGATATGAGGTTTACAGTTTAAAGGGGTATTCAGACTTCTACATGAATCAATATGTCACAGTGTTTGGATTACTGGACTAGGACTTTCGGCGACGGTTTAAATCCAGTGGTACCCACTAAGTGACCTAGAGCAGTGGCAGTGTCATACCTTCTCAGGTGTGCCACTATCTGTTGTTAGGTTGTGAGACTATGCATTATGAAGAAAACTTGGAATAGGGCCTTTTTTAAAACTCTGGGAGCCCAACAGGCCTCCAAATGTCCTCTATTCCCTCAGACTTTTGTTTTTGGTATTATGACCCCCCCTGGGGGACCTCAAGGCCATAAAATGCCCCCAGGGGCAACAGGTAGTCCTTGGGGTAAAATTTAATGGTACAGTATGATCCCGATCAGAAACAAATCAGGTATTAGTGGTTTAGCTTGGAATGCACGGGGCTACATTTGCAGATTGAAGATAATCCTAGATTCAGTCTCCAACTTGGTAGCCCAGATTTCTGTGGTCTCTAGGAATGCTTTTGTCTAATTAAAACGATTGCATCAAGTCTTGGAGATACCTGATATAGCCACAATGACACATGCTTCAGTTATATCCTGTTTGTGGTATGCTCTATATCAGTGGTTCCCAATCTTTTTTTGCCCAAGGACCACTTGACCAGGGACCACTCTCCAACATTAGTACCAACAGGGATACGAATTAGTTTTTGCTTAACTTTAGATTTGGTTTGGTTATTTGGTGTACTGATTCAGAAAATTGCATTGGATATACCACATCAGCTCTAGTTTCTGATACAGAACAAATGCCGCAGATACCATCTGCTTGCCCACAGAAAACCATACTTGAGTAAGCCTCGGCACTATAAGGTTTTGTGAGACCAGTCACGCTCGTTGCAACTGTGTAGTAAAAGTGAGGCTGCAGACCATATTTTAGTTCTTGTGGACCACTGGTGGTCCATTGACCACAGGCTGGGAACCACTGCTCTATATGGTGTATCTTTTGAAAAATGTCGTAATATATAAAATTGTTTTAATATTGCTAATATTAAATTACCTGAATTATATTTTAATGTTGATCACTTCTATATTTTGGGATATATTCTATTTGTTTTCATATGTAAACTGCTTCGAGTCCCATTTTTTCTGGGGTGTGTTTGAGGTGGGGTATACATGAAATTAATGATTGATGATAACTATAATAAAATCAATTCAAATATTTATGTGGGTAATAACAAGTTAATCCCTAATTTCTAACATTAGCACATAATTTTTCAAAGCTTACTGTACAATTTGTACAGTGTATCCCATGAATGGAGTTGTTATAAGGTCAATTTGAGACAGATGTGACTCATTTAGAAATTTGAATATGCCAGCATGATTTTGTAATCTGCCATGAAGCCTATATAACCATCAAAATGATATATTAGGTCCTTGCAGGTGGCCAATTCTCTCACACTAGAAGTGACTTGCAGTTTCTTAAGTTGTTCCTGACACACACACACACACAAAAGCTTCCTGAAGCCCTTCTTGATTATCTATTGAAACATGATCGTCGTAAAGATTTCTTTCAACATTATACCACGAGGCTCAAAATAAGCTGTTCACACCTCAAAACACACTTATTTCTCTGTTTGTGACGGTTGGGAGAAGAGCGTGTAGTGTACAAAAAGTGCTTTAAGCTACAGCAAATTTGATCACACCAAAAATTCTCCCACTAATTATGTTTTTTTCAAAACCACTTAAAATGGGATAACTGCTTTTAGATTGGTGAGAAATGTGTTACTGCACCAATTTTCCATTGTACCATAAGCTGTGACACTAAGGAATATACAAGCAGGTACACAAATCCAGAGGTTCTAGTCAAACATTATTTCATGTTCACGAACACATTATTTTTTAAAAAATGAAAACTTTGGAAAAACATCTTGAACTGATAAAAAATTAAATTCATTGATGGAATTTGATGTAACACTTTGGAAGATTTCAAAGAATGCAATTTAGCATCATCTCATTGAGATAAGATTAACCTGTAGGGTTGATTCTCACATGAAAATTATCCTATACAGGCATATCAGATCATAGCGTAATAATAAAACCCAGGGCACACACACACAAAAAAATCTTCTCTTTCTTGTGTCCCCGTCTACCTGGAGATCCTAGTTTGTTCCATGCAGGCGTGGTCTGACAGTGCTTTTTCCTTTTTTGCGCAGATGCTGCCACAGGGCACATTTAGAAATCCAGCTAGTCAGATTAATAAGAGGGATGAGCTGGTGTCATTATTCCTGCAGTGTGTAATCTTTTCACCCTTCCCCCTGATGTATGGGGTTCAGTTTGCCTACAGGATCGCCTTCTCCTGTTCAATCAGCTCCAGACACTGAGGTCCTCAGGGCGTTTATTCCAACCAGCCAGAACCTGATTGGCAACTGTCACCCAGAGGACCTTTTCATCAACTGCCCCAAGACTGTGGGATGACCTGCCAGAAGAGCTCTGACAGCTAAATCAGGTGCCAGAATTTAAACGCCAACTGAAGACCTATCTCCTCTGGCAGGCCTTCCCAGTCAGTTTTAACTATAACTTTTAATTCACGTTCTATGTTTATTGTGTTTTAACTTTTGACTCAGAAGGGCGGGGCATAAATATGTCAGCTCCAGCTTCCCATGCGGGGACATGAGAAAAGCCTCCCACAGGATGGTAAAACATCTGGGTGTCCCCTGGGCAAAGTCCTTGCAGATGGCCAATTCTCTCACACCAGAAGCGACTTACAGTTTATCAAGTTGCTCCTGACACACACACACACAAAAAGCTCCCAAGACGATTATTCTGGTAGGCATGTTTATAGGCCATTTCACTTAAAAAGGCTTATGTTTGGGTATGGGTGAGTCGGTTGAAAATAAAGGAAGGAATAAATAAAGGAAGCAGCCCAAATAGATTGTACCAACTTTATAGTGCATTGTGTCATAAAAGGTAGTGATCAAAAAAAGAATGATTTTTTTTAATTTACCCATTTCTTGTCTGGTGCTGCACGTTCCTGTGCCATATTTATCTAACTCTTTCTTCACATTTTTTATAGCACTGGGCTCAATTTCTGCAAAGCCGAGGTAGTTATATGAACCCATGTTGATAACATTCTTGACTGTCCTTCCAGTAAACCTACGAAAAAGGAAAAACATTTGAATTGAAATATTACACTGTAAAACATATAGTATTTCATACAGTCTGTGAGTAAATATAATTGAAAATGTCATATTCTTAGAATCAGATTTTGCTTAGATGAAATAAGCTAGTAGCTTCAAGATTCTCAAATTCTCTTGTGGACAACTGGATGACTTATTTCCTTGGGAAAGGATTCTAAGGATGAGAGGAGGGGGTTACACACAAGGATATTAATTGGGTAGAAATAGTTCTCTCTGCCCCCACAATTCTTCTATGAAATAAATGTATCAATAATATAAGCTACCACTGGAGGGAAAGATACTAGAGACAAAGTTGAAGTACTTTGGCCACATCATGAGGAGACAGGAAAGCCTAGAGAAGACAATTATGCTGGGGAAAGTGGAAGGCAAAAGGAAGAGGGGCCGACCAAGGGCAAGATGGATGGATGGCATCCTTGAAGTGACTGGACTGACCTTGAGGGAGCTGGGGGTGGTAACGGCCGACAGGGAGCTCTGGCGTGGGCTGGTCCATGAGGTCACGAAGAGTTGGAGACGACTGAACGAATGAACAACAACAACAACAACCACTTCATAAGCAGAGCTGGGCTTTTGGGACCCAAAGCATGATTTTTCTGCTATATTTTTTCTTTCTTTTTTAAATTATTTAACATTATAATATACCCACAATACACATTACAAACATGTACACATACATAGACATCCCGCCACCCACAATACAATTACCCTTCATTCTGCCCCAGTGCAACCCGCCACCTTGGCTTCCGTTACTAATCCTTGCAGAGTTTATGCACATTTCATTTACCCCTCTATACTTCTAGGTCAATAAATTTCTTGTTTTTATTTCTTAAATCCTCCCATCAGATATGCTAAAGCAAGCTTCCAATTTCTTCCAAAAACTTAATGACTTTCATGTTTCAAATTACTAGAAATCTTGGCCATTTGTGCATAATCCCACAGTTTATTCCTCCAATTTTTGATGCTTAACTTTTTTTCTTCACCTTTCCAATCTTTGGCAATTATAATGCATGCAGCTGCAAAGATGTACTGGCAATGTATTGTCGAAGGCTTTCATGGCTGGAATCACTAGGTTCTTGTGGGTTTTTTTCGGGCTATAGAGCCATGTTCTAGAGGCATTTCTCCTGACGTTTCGCCTGCATCTATGGCAAGCATCCTCAGAGGTAGTGAGGTCTGTTGGAATTAGGACAATGGGTTTATATATCTGTGGAATGGCTGGGGTGGGGCAAGGAGCTCTTCCCTGCTGCAGCTAGGTGTGAATGTTTCAACTGATCACCTTCATTAGCATTTGAAGGCCTGCCTGAGCCTGGGAAAATCTCTTGCTGGGAGGTGTTAATCTGTGCCTGGTTGTTTCCTCTCTGTTGTTTTGCTGTTGTAATTTTAGAGTTTTTTAATACTGGTAGCCAGATTTTGTTCATTTTCATGGTCTCTTCCTTTCTGTTGAAATTGTCCACATGCTTGTGGATTTCAATGGCTTCTCTGTGTAGTCTGACATGGTGGTTGTTGGTGTGGTCCGGCATTTCTGTGTTCTCAAATAATATGCTGTGTCCAGGCTGGTTCATTGAAATCCACAAGCATGTGGACAATTTCAAGAGAAAGGAAGAGACCATGAAAATGAACAAAATCTGGCTACGTGTGCGCATATTCAAAGTCCTTGAGGGACTGGTGGAGTTCCCAAGCTTGGAAAACTGCTCATTCTTGTCCAATTTTTCTTCCGGTCACCAATCTTTTCTTTTCCTTAATTTCTTTCCCATTAATTTCAATGGGAGGAGGAATACAGCTAGTAAAGGAATCCCCTCACCCCCATACCATGGACTGGGAGGGTGCTCTGGATCTGGGAGATCCAAAATGGTCTCTGCATCGACATCTTTATGATCCCACTGGAACTGACACAGTGATGGTGCGATGATGAGTCTGTCATTACAGGCAGGAGGCCTTCAAAATAAGCCTTTCCATTTCCTGAGGCCTTGGAAATCTGCATACTTCTGGGAAGCTCTGGTTTGAAGACCAGCCCTGGACATTATTTCTGAACTTTCTGTTTATATATATATTATATTAATCTATGTCAAAAACCTTGTAACATGAGCCTGGATATATATTTTCAACAGGAGCTGAACCTTCAACTGGTGTAAGCAAATACCTTTTGTTGCCTGAAATAATAGCCAGGCATTTAGTAAGGCAAGGAAAGTGGCAGCGACTTGTTGAAACCATTTTCAATTTTAGGTTTATAGTACAGAGGAAGAACATTTCTCAAAATGGACAGTAACTAACACTGTGCGGTTAGATTCCTCTGGTTTTGACAACAAAACAAAATGACAATGAGCAATAACACTGTTTGATATTAAGAGAAAGGGAGGAGTAGAACAGATGGGAATATACTATTTATCCTCATTGATCACTATCTATACTTATCAGCCATGACCCACCTAAATGTCCAGTTGTAGTCGTCTGAAACACGTTCCATCAGATCAAATTTTGGGCCAGGAACACTGCAGATAGGACGATTCCAATTGTCTCTTATTCTCATATACAGATTTCTTGTATAAAAGTTTTCAAAATCTTGATAGAGTGGTACAAAATCCTACGTTTTTTAAAAAAGAAAAGTCTCTCTAGTTAATATATCCAGGACATCAGATATTTAAGAGCACAAGGAGGGTAAGAAATAATTAATAACAACAACAACTATGATACATGATTACTGATACCTTTGGTTCTCTTGGTGATAGCTAAAATATATGCCAGAGACAATTGACTAGGGTTTAGGGCAGTGGTTCTCAACCTGTGGTCCATGGACCACCAATGGTCAAGAATGAAAACATGATCTGTGGCCTAACCATTACTACACCGTTGCCTCAAATCCACGTGGCAACGAGATTGACTGCAATTTTCTAAATTAGTACTCCAAATAACCAAACCGAATTTGGTCAATTTTAGTACCTTTTGGTACTAACGTTGGAGAATGGTCCCTGTTTAAGTGGTCCCTGGTTATAAAAAGGTTGGGAACCAGTGGTTTAGGGGATGAACTAGCTCTTTGAATAGTCTTGATTACTCATCTTTCTCCCTACTTTTTAAATGGCAAGGGGCAACTTTGCCATTATTTTATCCATTCTAGGCAAGTTTAGCTCCAGATGTGACTTCCTTAAGGTAGTGTTTCTCAAACTATGCTCCTCCAGGTGTTTTGGACTTCATTCCCAGAAATCCCAGCCATCTTACCAGCTGTTAGGAATTGTGGGAGCTGAAGTCTAAGAAACCTGGAGGGGCACACTTTTAGAAACTCTGTCTTAAGGATTAACTGGCCACACCAAGGTTATTTCCTTTAAGAAAACTGAAGTTATTTCTTTAAAGAAAAGGGCCTAAAGCAGTGGTCCTCAACCTATGGGTCCCCAGATGTTTTGACTTTCAACTCCCAGAAATCCTATCACTGGCTGGGATTTCTGGGAGTTGTAGGCTAAAACACCTGGGGACCCACAGGTTGAGAACCACATTTACTCACTAATTGACTTATAGTAAAGCACACCACAGAAAGAGGGGTCTGGACAAGCCCCCTGCCCCCCAAAAAACCCCACCACAGAACATCCTGGAATGGGAAGCCAAAAGCCAACAATGGCAAGAACAAGACAACTGAAAATACATGCAAACAATACATGCAAATATAAGAAGCAAAATACTATCTATTGAATGACAAGAGATACAAACAGTAAACAATTCAAATGTCTGTAACAATCATATAAATTCATGTATAAGACAACCTCTTGTTGAGGACAGGTTTTGGGACCCAAATTATGGATTTTGATATTACCTGTGGATAGCTGCCCCTGGCTGTCATTGCCATTTCTCCACCCAGCAATTCAAAAAGGCCAGAAGCGTCAGAGTGGTATAGGGATTGGTGCTTCTTTTAGGTACTCTTGGGACAGATTGCACTCTTGTCTTTTGCCATTCGACTCAGATAAGACTATGGTTCTTTTTATTATTATTATTATAAGAGTTAAGGTATAGTACGCACATTCGCCTGTGGATGTTGTTTTTTTTTTACTAAAATTTCTGGATTTATATATGAGTATATAGGGCATGTGAATGCTATTGGGGCCCCTTCTACACTGCCATATAAAATCCAGATTATCTGATTTGAACTGGATTAGATGGCACTGTATACTCTTATAATCAAGTTCAAACCAAATTATCTGGATTATCTGCTTTGATAATCTGGATTATATGGCAGTGTCGAAGGATCCTGAATGACTAACTGCTACCAAACCCTGTTTTGTAATCCAAATATTTGGACTGCATATATTACTTTAAAATGCCACAACTCTGTTATTTTTGCTGCAACAGATTAAAAGGGACGAACCTCACTCACTCTTTGAAATTAAAATATTCATATTTGGCATAGCCTTTTTTGGGAGTAAGAATTAGAATGATTCAGTGATAAAACTTTTGTTTTATTAAGGTTTTGATTTGATACCTAGTCTTCAAGGGCTGGGCAGGCTGCAAACCTTAGCGTAAATTGTGTCATTTGTAAGGGAGTGATGTTTGTAAATATTTCTTAACAAAGTGCAAATATAAAAACAAGACAAGTCCTGGGTCAATTACAGGTAGTTTTCTATCTATTAGAGCCAGGACTTGTAACCATGTCTTGGTATTTTTTGTCTTTCTCTTTAGCTTTTCCTATGTACTGTATATACTCTAGTACAAGCCGACCTGAATATAAGACAAAGTACCTAATTTTACCACAAAAAACTGGAAACTGTATTTACTCAAGAATAAGTCAAGGGTGGTAAATTTCAAAATAAAAATAGATACAAATAAAATTACGTTAATTTTCCCTCCCTGCGATAGTATTCCTCACATGCCCTACTTTTTATATTGTAAATAATAGTATTCTGTATTCTTACTAATGAAAATCATTTTTTAAAAATGTATTAATTGAGGCATCATAAGGTTAAATGTTTTTGAATATTTACATAAAACTGTAGTTTAAGATAAGACTGTCCAACTCTGATTAAACCATTATTCTAGCCTTCTTCAATGTAAATGTGCTTCCGTATCCTTCCAATAATAATAGAGTAAAATAATAACTGTAATAATAATAGAGTAAAATAATAAATGTAATAATAATAATAATAATGTAAATGTAGTAATAACAATAATAGAGTAAAATAAATGTAATAGTAAAACAGAGTAAAATAATGAATGTAATATTAATATAGTAAAATAATAAATGTAATAGTAACAATAATAATCATAATTTTGGTTTAAAAACCTACTCTCCAATTATATATGAGGTAGATTTATAGGTGGTGCTTGCATTGATGGATGTGGCTGTGGCACAAGTTCATGTGCATAGCAAGGTATCATCCTACCTTGACCAGGTGTGCACTAGAACTAGTTCACATCTATATATTTATTATCTATTATTCTCTATGGAATAGGTGATCTGTGAACTTAATGAAATGTGAGTTAAATTCTAATAGCTATAATCTAAGAAAATAATACACCAGCCAAACAAATCAGAAAAACGCCTAAGGGTTTTACAATATTTAGCCTAGCAGTTTAATAGATCTTAATAGATGCAGATGATTTCCACCTGCAAAATAAATACTAGAGACATGTGGAGCAACATTATATTATAACTAGATCAAAGTATTTCTCTATCTAGCTCAGGACTTTGAATGGCAGCGCTTCTCCAGACTATGAGGCAAGAAAGGTCTTTTCCTTCAGGTGCTTCCTGCTTCTGCCACATTACTATTTCTTTTGTAACATCACAATGGAGAAGAGAGAGGACAGATACTTGAGTCCATGGCACACTGAGGCTTATTCCTCCTTAAACGTATCTTGCAGCTAAACTAGGGTTTAGAACTAGACTACCATGAGCATTTCTCCTTATAGTAACTACATTTAACGGGCTACACTGCCTACATCAACACTTCAGATCAAGTAAGTTTGCTGACATGAAAGAGGAAAATTTCTCCTACAGGAGTTGTTCATTATCAGGTGGTGATCCCTTATCAGTTCCAATTCCACATGCATGTACAATCCATCCATCAGTACTTAAGAAAGACATTGTGAGGAAGAATGACGAGATGGGGGGAAACCCTTGTTTTGCTAGTTTCCCCCCCTTCTTTTCTAGCCTCTTGGGAAGGGATTGGGCCATTTCAGTAGGTTTCAGTCCTACATACCTTTTGTTCTTCCCGTTCTATTGTGCCGACACATTTTTGTAATCCACAGGCTCTTAAGAAGTCTCGCAGATAGCCAAATAACGTTCCTACGCCAAAACCCACAAATGTAAAGACAGCAACGTACATAGGTGCTTGTTCAAATGATTCATTAAATGGCCTTTTGTAAACAGCTCCATTTGCTACACCGTTTTCCTGAAAATAGAAACAAAGACAATTATATAACAACAGTAATTTCATAAAGTAATTTCTTTTAGAAGAGAAATCAATACCTGGCTTTGGGACCAAGCGTTCGATTAGTGAGCAGCAAGTAAAAGAAGATTTTAAAACTTATGGCAATGATTTGACCCGAACTGGATTTTAGACTCTGATTTTAATAGGCATGTGTTAATCAATTGTTTTAATTCTTGTTTTAATATTTTAAATATTTTAATGTATTGTTGATTGTTTTATTATGATGACACCGTATGGTGTTTGTGAGGCTGCCCTGAGTCCCCCCTCGGGGGTGAGCAGGGCGGGGTATAAACATAGGAAAAAATAAATAAAGAGGAACACATGTCTCTGATGATACCGGTTCTTCAAGTGTGCATGTATCCTCTGCCCATTCATACTTACTTATCTACTCTGCTTATCCAACCAAGGGCGGATTTACACTGACCCAAAAGCTGTGGCTGATCTGGTGCGCCCAATGCTGGATCAGCCCCAGGTATGGTCCACACATGGGATTTCCCAGCTGCTGTGCAGGTAGGAGGGAATCCCCATTGACCAGTGGTGTTGGTGGATGGCCACCTAACTGTCTCCCGGTCAGATGTGTTGCAGCAGTCTCCCTCCAAAAGTAACCAGGAAGAACAAGAGGAGATCGGACCCCTCCACCTTCTTGGCTGCACAGGAACCTATCCTTATGTCGGAATAAGATGCCCACAAAGGCCAGCAGTTCACATGGAATTTTGTGGCCAGCTGGGAGTTGTGACAACACAGAAGGTGAGGTAACAATCCAGCAGGACCAATAAGGTATTTAACTGGCCAGTGCAATTCACCTTAAGACTTGAAAAGCCAGTTATGAAGGAATTAGATAAAGATATCACTAAATTCCAAGGTAAGTACAGTGATACCTTGACTTAAGAGTTTAATTAATTCCGTGACCGAGCTCTTAACTCAAAATACTCTATCTCGAAGCAAATTTTCCCATTGAAATGCACTGAAATGCTATTAATCCATTCTGCCCCCCCCCAAAAAAACCCCAATTTTGTTACATGTTTTTAAATAAGACAATGTACTTTATAAATAATGAATAACGTATAATTGCACATTCACAAGGAACAATAAAAAAAAGATCAACTTTAAATTGCTAGGAGCAAAATTATGGCAAGGAAGCACAAAGTGGCAGATGCATAATTGTCTTCATACTATACTAATTCCAGTCTCCCTCTTTTACTCTCTCTCCATTCCTGTCTTCATGAAGCCGAACATACAATACATAAATACATAAATAAAATTTGATACCGGTTCTTCAAGTGTGCATGTATCCTCTGCCCATTCATACTTATCTACTTTGCTTATCCAACCAAGGGCGGATTTACACCACACAAATGAACTAATCCTGAAGTTCCTCAAAGCGGACAAGAACAAAGCAGACAGCAATCTCCCAAAGCGGACAAGAGCACAAGGCACGGCGGCTGTACCTTAAAGCCCAAAAGCCCTGTAACCTTTGCATTAGCGCTCTCTGGTGCTAGTTCTTAACTCAAAATATTGCTCTTATTTCAAAATGAATAACAGGTGAGTGACAGCTCTTAATTCAAAACACTCTTAAGTTGGGGGTGCTCTTAAATAGAGGTTCTACTGCATCTGTTTTCGAAGTATGGTTGTGTGAATACTGGACAGTGAGGAAAGCTGACAAAAAATGGACTACGAAAAACGGATGACACTAGAGGTGAATTGATTCCATTAAGAAAGCCACAGCTCAGAACTAGCAAGACGCAAGGTGAAATACTCCCAAAACCTGAAAGTGTCAACATGGGTAGCTGATGGACCCAGAACTGAACACAGTACTCTAGACAAGGCCTTACAAGTCAGAATATAGTGGGATTATTGCTTCTCTTGACTTGGAAATTATGCTTCTATTAATGCAGGCTAAAATAACATTTATGTTTTAATGCTGAGCCATGAATCACTCCCATCTGATATCTGTGCATTTGCACTTCTCCACTAACCTCTGTCCTGAAACTATTGCACAAGTTCTTAGCTCTCTGGGTTCAGAACTTATTACTGTTCAGGCTAGGGATTTTTATGATGTTGTGTTACGTTATTGTGATGTGTTTATTTTATTTTTGATTTTATTTTATTGTACTGTGATTCAATCTATGTTGTTCGGGCTCATCCCCATTGTAAGCTACTCCGAGTCCCTTTGGGGAGATTGAGAAGGGGTATAAAATTAAATTATTATTATTTATTATTATTTTCTACCCTATTTTCTACCCTATTTCCTAGTTTATCTGGATCCATTTGAATTCTGTTCCCGCCTTTAAATGACACATGTGTGGGATGTTTTTAATCTCTCCTGAGAGTTTTCAATACAAGCTGGGATAATGCTTATTTCTACTGTCCATAATTTGGATGGTTCCCCTGATAGTGTGCATGGCCTTGGTCATATACCCTATATACTCATGTATAAGTCTAGAAATCTTAGTCAAAAAACTAACCCAAAATCCTAAGATGACATATTTATGGGTCAATGTAAGTCCTGCACCTGAAATCTTATAAAAAATGAACTAACCCCTTGGGTAAAGAATAAGGAGTGATGGTGGCCAGGAGTATCTCGTCCCAAGGCAGGTTTGGAGGTCTCCCTTCTCTGAAGAATGATCCTCAACTTCTCTACGAGTCATGTCAGAATCCATAATTTTTGACCAAAAAACTACACTTGATTTGTTCATGAGTTCAACTTATAAATGGGTATATATGGTAAGTTTCCAGCTAGCCTGAGTTATTATATTACGGTATGTTTCTTATTAGGTTGAGTATCTCATTCTCTCCTTTTCCCCTGATATCATCTTAAATTGCCTGAGAATTGTGACCGTACACTATAACAAAACTTGAAGTTCAGGCACATTTTGCCATTTCCATCAGACCATTTCCACATGAACAAACTAAAAGTTTTTATTTTATTAAAATATTTGTATATCCTCTGTGTCAATGTATTTGAGAGCAAAATACAATTACTAAAGAAAAAAAATTGAAATGTGAGTCAGTAAAGCTATTTTATAATCTTAAAAACTAGATGGTAAACTATCTAACAAATTAAAACAAGCGGAAAGAATTAAAACTAGACACATGTACGAACCAGACAAAAATCATTACATTTAAATACTAGAAGGCATAAATCACCCATTTGGATGGCATTCATATTTCGACATACAAAAGGCCAAAACAAAAGGCATATTTAATTGCCATCATATACAGAGACCAATTCTAAATACCTGGAATAGATATAAAAAAGAATTTATACAAAGATACCAGAGTGGCTATCCCCACATGAGGCATACTACAAAAGGGAGAACATCCTACAAGGGAAATGGTTAGCCTACAGGGAGCTGATCCAGATCGACTTAGAAAACTCAGAAATGAAACCCCTAGAAGAATTGAATTGAATGGGCTTAAATGCAAATGGCTTCTATATAGATAGCTGCATGAGAAATTCAAAGAAAAAACTTAGAACCTTGGGCTTTCAGACTCCGAAAACATGGTTTGACGTGGTGATGTTCCAGAAACCAAAAGGACTTATATCTATACAAAAATCTACCGACTTGGCACACAGAAGAGGAAGGATTATTTTTTATTTTGTATTTAAAGCATTTATATTCTGCCCTTCTCACCCTGATGGGGACTCAGGGCAGAGCAAAGCATATATACAAGAAACATTCAATGCTGTGACATAAACCCCCCCCCCTATAAATATACATAAACACTAAAATCAATTATCTCCACTTTAAAAACAATTGTTTAAAATCCTCTTAGATCAGCCAGTAAAAGTAGTAAAAGACTCAATGGTTAGATGACCTCAAAACATAGGACAAGAGATAAAAATGGCTCAATGAGAAAAGACATGGAAGAGAAGAATAAAATACACGACATGCCAGAACCCAAAATACATCTACGTTGGTATCTCCCCCCAAAAGACTAGTGAAGATGTACAATAGAACTGACAAATGTTGGAAATGTGGGAAAGAAAAAGGCAGATTTTACCATATGTGGTGGACATGCAACAAAGTAAACAACTACTGGAAACAGATTCATGTATATCTCAAATAGGTATTAAACACAAAGTTCAAAATGACACTACAACCACACCTTTTGAACATTCCAGATGAAGAACTAGAAAGGAAATTTGGGGGAAAAAAACTTTTATATGACAGTGACAGCCCAAATAGTATATGCTAGATATTGGAAAACCTCAGAGGTACCTCCCTTAGAAGAACGGGGATACATAGGGGATCCTGTAAGACTGTAGACAGGTAGGAAACAGATACTAATTTAGAGTGCATGATATCTTTATATCTACTATTCAAATAGAAGACTGTGACCTCTTAAAGAAAAAAAATTATGTGAGAAATGATTATGGAACACTAATAGCTGGAAAATACTGCACTGTACACAACAAACACTTACAAATGCATGTCTATTTTAATAACTTAATAAAAAATAAAATCATTAGATAATTAGCTTAAAAAGAAATTGTCCTAGAATCTGGAAGAGGGGATAAGAAAAGTAAGATAGAGGAGACAGTAGAAGAAGAATAATAGAATGCAAAAAAGAAGAATGGAAGTAACAATTGTCCCTTTCCTTTCCTACCCCCTTCCCCTTCCCTTTTTTTCTATTATTTTTCTCTTCCCCTATCCAACCCTTATCCTACCCTTTCCCCCCATAAATTGTATAGGCCTGATCTAGTAAAAATTAGAGGATTTAGCACCCTTTTATCAAGTCAATGCAATAATACTACATCCCACAAAACCACGTATTACTACTTAGTTAACGTTATTCACAATGCTATGCTTGAAATCAAACTCTATCTTTAAGGGAGCAGCACTGTCCTCCCCTGTTGCCATAAGATTATACCACACATCAGTCCCTTTGATTCATTGTTCCTTTATGTTATCACTTATCATTAATCCATATAATTAATTGTTATGCAAACACTACAA